ATTAACCAGCCTGCCGCATAGTGCTTAGGTTGCCCAACAGCTCCAGGCATATCTGGATGCCACTGGATTCCTGGACCCTTGTCAGTCTCACTTCCATCCTGGACACAGCCTGCAATCATGACCGTGGTCAATGATCTTTGCCTCAAGGCTGACATGAGAAACTACTGAGTTTACTACATCTTTCAGTAGCCTTTGATACAGCTGACCATGAGATGCTGTGAAGAAGTGTTTACATAACCTGGTGGGTGTTTAGAGGACTATTTTAATAATTAATGTGACCTGGTGGGTAATTAAAGGACTACTGGTTCTGCTCTTTTCTAGCAAGGAAGTTCCAGAGGGTGGTGATTGGAAAGTGCTTATATCTTTCCCTTGTGACTTTTTCTGTGGGGTCCTCCAGGGCTCTAACCTGTCACCCCACTTGCTCAAAGTGTATACGAGACTGCTGGGTGAGACTGTGGAAGTATGGAGTGAGCTGCCATCACTATTATAATACCCAGCTCTACCTCTCTTCCTCATCTGACCTGTCACCACAGTCTCAGTCCTTTCCAAGTACCTGGCTACAGTTGGGGACTGACTGAAGGTGAACTAAGTTGGGGGCACCAGCCCTACCAATAGCATCAGTGTTCCCTATCGGGAGGGCACCGGCCCCATCAGGGGGAGCATGTGCACCCCCTACCAGTCGCCTATGCTGAAACTGAATCCAAACAAAAGAGAAGTGATGGTGGTGGGCAGACTGTGTGACCTGGAAAAGGGGAATTGGAACACTTATTATTTATGGGATTTTGTCTTCCTTATTACTCACATACACAGCCTTAGGGTGCTCCTGGATCCCTTGCCGCACCTGGATCATCAGGTGGCAGCAGTGGCTAAGAGTGCCTTTCCCCAACTCCCTCTGGTGATAGACAAGGCTGAGACCCTTTCTTTCAGATTTAGACCTGGCCACCATCATCTATGCGTTTGTCACCTCAAGGCTAAACTACTGCAGCGTGGTCTATATGGGGCTGCCTTTGAAGACTGTATGGAAGCTGAAGATCATGCAGAATGCAGCAGCTCACCTTCTGACAGGGATGGGCTGCCAGGAGCATATAGCTCCACCACTCCAGAGTCTTCACTCCCAATAGCTTTTCTGGGAACAATTCAAGGTGCTGGTTTTCACCTATAAACCTCTAAACAGCCTGGGCCCTTTATATCTAAGGGACCTCCTTCTGCCTTCCACCCCTTGGAACAGCCAAAGACAACCTCTTGCAAGTGTTACCAAAGCACCGAGTCCACTTGGCAAGAACACTTGGGAGGTTTTTCTCAATTGTCAATCTCCAACTCTGGAGCTCTCCTCTTCCTAAGACCTGCCAGAGCCTGAACATCTTTTGTAAGCACTGCAAAACCTTCCTATTTGGACAGGCATTTAAAGAAAAAAAAATTAGGCTAGGATACTGTTTAATGGATTTGTGCTTGGGAAAGCACCTACCCACTACCACTTCTCCCCATGGAAGTGAATGCTATCGTATGCCATTGAAACCCCATTTCCACCAGCTGGAACAAATGTCTCTGCAGGTTGAACGCAGGTTGCCGATTCCTGTCCTAAGGCATTGTGCCATTTTTGCTATGTTACCATGTTTCAGAGTGATGATTTTCTCTGATGGACCATGCAGTTGTGCTTGAATGAGTTTCCATTCTTTTCTCCACACAAGCACATATTTAACAATGACAGTGACTCACAAACAAGTAGGGGTTTTGTCTGCTTCAAGTACCAAATTCAACTGTAACCAATCACCCCACCCATAATAACAAGGGGCTCACACCATACCTGACCAGGATCCATGCTGACCACAGAAGCTGACAATGCAAGAACAAGAGGAGTGTGCTTTTCCACAAGCAATGAGTGCTTTCCACCGAAAAGACATATTCATACTTCTCACTTTCTTTCACAAACACCTAATGTGTAACCCACAACTGCAGGAGAATATTGAACAAACAAGGAACGTTATCTGGGGTCTGATCTGATTTAGTATAACATTAAAATACAATCACATGCCAGGACCTGACAAGTAAGTATTTCAATAGCAAAGAATAATACAGAAAATAGGTTTAATGGAGGTGACTACAACCGCACGGAAATTGAGAAAAAAAATGTATATTAGAGTAGAAAAATGTAAAGAACTCAACTGCACTAATAAATTAGTGTAATTCACCCTAGAAGATAGAACTTTGAATTTAGTCCTAAGTAAAAGTATACAAATAGGTCTTTAATTGATTCCACAGGATCACCCTTCAGAGATTCACAGATGATATCTCCCAATTCCTGTGATGGTGGCATGTAGGTGCCCACAGGTAGTAACAGAATTGCACCTACACATTAGTTGGATAACTCAGAATCGGTTGCAAGCCAAACTTTGTTTACTAGGTGAAACAGAATTCTGCCTTTGGAGTGAAATCAGACTCCTGTGATATAGCTGTCTCTCACATCACAGTCTCCCTGATGAACTCACTCACAGGAGCTGACATGAGCTGAAAAATCACTTGCATAGTCCCAGACAGTCAAATTCTATTCCTGTTTACACCACTGTGGATCTGGAGTATGATCTTTGAAGTTTCTGAAACAAGCTTCAGGTGGTGTAAATTAGCATACCTTCACTGAAACCAACTGTACATTTGGCCCATTGTATCATAGCTTAAAAAATGAATCACTTTCACAGTCTCACTGGACTGCAGGATAGTCCCATAATGTTTCCTTTAAAATGCTAATAAATAATACTTTGTATTCAGATGGCACCTTCTGTCCAAGGACATGAGTATGCTTTACACAGACAAATTTATTTAGTCTCTATATTCCTTTGAGGGAGATGCGTATTCTCTCTTTTTCTAAGCAAGAAAAGTAGTAATAAAAGGTCAGTGCCTACCAGAAGTTGGGGAGTACAGCACACAGAGAATAGAATGTTAGGTGGATGCCCTGTAGTGCCTAGCAATTGATAAACAATTTAGCTATGTAACACAAGCTACTGCAATACAACTACATTTCTAGATCACAGTATACATATGTCTTTAGTGGACTTTTTTTTCAGAATGTTTCCCCCAATACAGACACTTCTGTGAGAAATAAAATCATAATGCAGTAGGAATTTATTGCATTGTTTTAATTGGCCCCAAAGGAGTGAGAAGCAAAATGAAACAGAGGTTATTTTTCAATCCCAAATTTGGCATAAAAGGCAATTACGAGGCCTTGTAACTGCCAACCTGCTAAAATTGGTGCCAGATAACAACAGCAACGGAGTTAAAAGTACAAAAGAGAAGTCAACATTAAGGATAGAAAGTTGGGAAAATCTGACCTCACAACTCACACACATGTATGACAATTACAGCGAGACCCTGAAAATGTCATGCTCTTCCTTAAACAGGAAGGGGGCGGGGTTGAGTTTTTTTATTAAATTCCAACATGCAGTAGAACTACAACCCTTTCATTTAGGCAGTTATCATCGCAGGATAAAGTACAACGGGGCTAAGAAAGAAATTTGTCTGATTTTGAACAGCAAATTAATTTTCTCATATCTTTCAGTCACACAAGAAATTCAATATGATTTTTAGTGCTCACTATATTTCAGTGGGACACATTTATCATTCAGATTTGTCTTACATTATTATTTGAACAGTGCCAAAGGAACTGCTTAATAAGACCAAATTAGTTTCAAATTAAATTGTTACTGGTCATTTACACAGAGACAGACATTTCTCTACAAACTGTTGAGTGGGCATACCATCCAAAAGTACATTACTTATTTTAATTAATCAAGAAACAAAAGATATGGGTGATGTTGGCAACTTCATCAACTAAGTGACTTTTGATTTTTTCACAGAAACAGAAATTCAGAGTAGAAAAGAGCAGAACATTTTGTATAGTAGGACACTGTATCAAAGTAAAATGAGACCACTTTCTCAAAATGATAAAGGGAACCTGTTTGTTTAAAGATATGGCTATATGACCTAATTTGATTCATTTCTAATAATTATTCCTTTATCTTTCAAAAATGGCCTGGCATTTTTAATACATATGCATTTTTATATGCACTTCCATGTCTGTCTAAATGTTCTTTCTGTTACTCCCATACCCTCGCAATTTCACAGCTTACAAGATCATCAAATATCCCACTTTATACTGATTAGAATGCTTCCATGTTTATTGAAGACCTCCAGTCTTCAACTGACTTTTGTTGCTTTTTGTATGGTCAAGAAAGGTTAGACCAGTTTGTAGTCAGTTCATTTATCTGAGTAACAAATAGTAGGCAAAAAAGGTAATGTCTATCATCGACAGTACCACATCAAGATAAAAAACTGCCCTTCATGGCAAACATCCAATCCAATAAGTTAACAGGGATGCACAAATGCAGTACAGAAAGACAATATTTGGCATGGATTGTTCATTATAATACCAGGGAGAAAAAAGCCCTAATGAAAGCTATGTTAAACAATTACCCAAAGGCCCAGTGACAATCAATTTGATGCCAAACTTTATGTATTTATTGATGTATTATTATAGCTGATTATAGCTAAGATTCTGTGTTCTCAAACTGTAAAGAATTGGTAACAGGTATATAGCAGTTATGATGGTAGACAATGTTGTAACCAAGGTTGTCTCCCAAAGAGAGTATCGATAATGCTGAATTACACATACCACGACCCCACCATAGAGTTCTAACAAAGTACAGAAATGACTTTTTCTTTTTTAATATTACTCCTGAAACATTTCAAACACCTAAGTGGCACTTTCTAAAGAAGACACAAATGTTACCAATGATAGAGAACAAACTCATTATCCCTGGAAAGGGATTTGGAGGCAGGTGCTTTTGAGTACTTTATAAATAAATAAATAAAGGGAAAAGACAGCTTTTAGTCTTTTCTGCATTTCAGATCTTGTCTCAGAGCACTAGACTACGTATCCACATCTCTATCATCTCAATATTATGTGATAAGTGTGCTTGCCTACTGAAATTTGATAATATTCTACTTACCCAGCATCTTCTTGGAAGCCTTCCAATTCATCCCTTTGTTCTGTTAAAGTGGATTCTAAATCCAGATAGGTACCATTATGGGACAACTGAAGAGTGCAGTCATCAAGCTGTAAAACAAAATTCAAAACATGACATTCTTTGTGATCATAATCTCCAAGATGCTGCCTTTCCTTCACATTATTTCCCATGTTTTTAAACCAGAAGAGGAAGAAACATGGTCTTAGTTAATCACTTATTTTTAACTTCTCCACCAAACACCAGGCTTCACAATACACCCACTGTCCTTTCAACAAAGCAGGATAAAGAGTCACTCTGACTTGAACACCAATATCAATACATAATTTCCTGCAGGAGTCACTTAAGAGATGACATTTTCCACCTTACCTTGGAACACCTATGGCTCAAAAGCTTGGCCAAAAGAGAAGCAGCAGAGCCCTTTACATGTGTAGCTCTTCCAAGATGCACTGCTAATCCTTAGCCAGTCAGTGGCTAGGGAAAGCCCACAGCCTGACCCTGGAATGACTGGTGAGTAACTTGAATGAGCTGTGATTAACTTAAATATATGCAGCATTATCCCAAAAAAACTGTTAGCACATTTTATCTTGTATACTTTACAAGTATACAAGATAGGCAGGACAATGGACTGGTACTTCAGTAGGATTCAGGACAAAAGGTTTTCTTTCAGGAGAAATGTTGAGTCTATTTACACCTTCACTGTCATATACACTCATACTTGCAGCTAAAGCCCTCAGAGACTCATGTTTCCAACTTATGTCAGGGTAACCATCTGAATCAAGAAACAAAAGCGATGTTGCAACTTCATCAACTTACATTAAGTAACTTTTGATTTTTTCAAAGTAATTGAAATGGTAAACTGTTCAACTGAACTAACATATAGATGGATTGGAAGAAAAGTTAATTCCTGTTCATTTTTCTTTGAGGGGAAAAAACCAAGTGTTTCATGAACCAAAGTCCTCTCTCTCCTTTCTTCTGGGGAGAAGACATTTAAATGGAAAGATGCACGTTAGCACTTTCTTATTCCCAATTTTAGGGATAAAAAAGCTACGCTTTAAGTACAACAAGCTGTATGTGCTATAACATTAAAGCTTGAATCTTTACGACTAAGAAGGAATATCAACCTATATAAATTTGAAATTATGTTCTTCAGAGAAAAAAGAGAAATGAGGCTAAGCACTACTCTGGGAAACTTTTTCCCACTAGTCCAACATATCAAATTAAATGCTAATTTATTCAAAGCAATGCCAAAAGGCAAACTGCTAATTAGATAAATGTTCTGTTGTCACTATGGAGATTGGCCCACAATTTCCAATTATACTGCATAATTAGGGAAAAGGAACTTTGCTTTATTAACATCTGATGACTTTAGTCTATAAAAGGCTATGATGAAAACAGGAAATGCCTGATGTGCAAGATAAAGGAAAATGGTACATTCTACCTATTCTTATTTCATCTCCATAGTTTCAGTTGAATGTAGTATTATTCTTTCGTGTCCTAAAGCATTGTACAAAGTATCTGAGAATTGAGACTGTGGTAATAGGGAACATCTTTAGATCAATATGTTAACTCTAATGCATTTTACCAAAAAAAGCTGGATCTTTTTAAAGATGGGGGGAGTGGGGAGATGAGGGGAAATAAAATTCCTCTGCAATAGGCCAGCTGCTCAGATAATATAGCGATAGACTACCTTATGAAAAAAATTAGATAGATCTTCCTCATGAAGGTGACCCCTCCTCCTTTCGCAAACAACCTTTTTCACGGGCCAAAATACGGGGACAGAAATTACCCCACGTCATTTTTAACCCCACAAATTGGGAGGTGCTTACTTCAGATTTTGTTTTTCTCCTCTCTCCTCAGTACACAGCTTTAGCAGGCTGAGGTCACGATGCATAGTAGAGCCCCCTAGTGACCTTTGTACTAGCCCCATCTAACCAGTTCCTGGGATCTCATCTTTCCTTTACCTGCCATGGTTTTGATGTTTCTTGAGAGAAAATAATTGCCAAGAAGCTGCCCAGGATCCCGGAGAACCACTTATTCCACCTCTATACCCCTCTCTCTTGGCTAGACCCAGTCTTAAGTGCTTTATGGGCAATGTCCAGGGACTCTCAAAACTCCTGTGCCTTAATGTCTCATTCACAGCCTCCAACCTCCCCTATAGCTATGCCCATGTCTCACAAGTGTTACCATTTAATTGTTTCAGTGGGCACCTAACACTAGTCCAATATCAGGCTTCCTCAGGCCTGTATTTTATTGTTGGGGCCTTAGCCCCCTGGCTTCTGCCCCTCTTCTCTAGCAGGGCCTTCTAGCCCCAGTCCACCATGATAAACCTAAAAGAATAATACTACATTCAACTGAAGCTCCAGCCCTTTTCTCATTTCCTCTGGCTCTCTGGCCCATCTCTGGGCTCTTCAGCCCTGTCTCTGCCCTGCTCTGGGCCTGCACTCTGCCCCTTCCAGGGCTCTACTGGGACCTCCTCCTCCCTGATAGTCCAAAACCCAAACCACCAATCACAAAAACAACTAATCAGACTCATGCCTCAACCTAAACATACACCTGCCCTCAGCTCTTAAATGCTATATAACAAAAATAGGTACTCTGTCACTTTAACTTAAGCAGTCTGGCTCGGGCAATCATACAACTGAAAGAAACTGTTCTTTCACTTTAACCCAGCTATGTTCCCCCATTGGAGTAAATTAACCTTCTTCTGGGCAGCCCCAATCTGGGTTCCCTCAGCCTAGGGACAGACATTACATGTAAACCAATTTAAAGTGATCAGAAACTGGTTTCAACCTGTAACAGAACAGACATTCAGTGCACATAAACCAGTCTGAAAATGTCTCAAACCGGTTCAAGATAAACCTGGTTGAATGTAGTATCAGACTTAACTGATTTGGGTCAAACCGATTTCTGGAACTTCTGTCCCAGACCCTTTCCTGGTTTAACTTAACTTAACCCAGATGGTGGGGCTCTCTGCACCAGAAATAGGGTGGCCCCACCCCTCTGCTCCTTAGCTGGACTGCCAGCAGAGACAGCAAGCGCAGCAGCATCTGAGCATCTGCCTGGCTTCCCCTGTGCCACATCCCCATCCCTGCTCAAGCAGAGATTTCCCCCGCCCCAGCATGTGGTATGCTAGCTAATGCTGAGAGGTGTCTGTGTAAGGCAGACAGGACAAAGGCAGACAGGACAGTCTGCTTAGGGCTTTTTGGAGCTAATCAACAGGTATCTGGTAATGTCCCTCCATTCCTTCCTTGGGAAAAGTAATTTAAGAAGAGCTTGGGCTAATGAGAGGCTTTTGTTCTCTGATGGGATGATGCATGTTGGTAACAAAGCTGATAAATGCTCTGTTATCAACAAGTGGGGGGGACACCCCTCCCTAATAAAAGTGTCCTGCCAGGGCCTGGCCAAACCCTCTCCCCCAGCTCAGCACTATGGAAAGGAGTGAGGACTGCTCTAGCACCCCCCACCTTCTAGTCTGAGCCACTGCAGGCATGTGCCTGCATTTCCTCAGTCCAGAAGGGATGTCTGTGAGGTGCAGCACAAACTGGTGCTGGCACCAGTACAAACTGGTTCAGCCTAGCCAAGTTAGACTAACCTGCAAAGATTGAATCAATTCAGGCTCTGTCCATCCCTAGCCTCACTGCCCTGCTTCCAAGAGTCCAGCTACACTGCTAGGATTCCCCAGTGAGCTGCTGATCTTCTTGCCAATCTCTAATACCTCTCTGCTCTCCTGCCTCAGCACATGCTCTTATCTAGCTCCAGCTATTATTTCCCAGCCTCAGTTGTTTGCCTTTTGAGTTGATGGGTTGCCCCGCTCCCAAGGCTGCCTAATCTACAGCCTGTAGTCTTTGTCCTAACTTTCTGTTAACTCACACAGGGGTCATTCTAAAAGCCTGCTTCCTCTGGAATCACTGGCTCCCTGTTACAACAGCCTCATGGCACACTCTTTGAATATGGCTCTGACAAATACTATTGCTGCTCTCTGACTGTGTACACCTTCACAATTTGCTTCTACACCATTTTATCAAAGACATAGTATTCCCATTGCTGATAATTCACATCAAGAGTCCATAAATCTTGCTCAATTGAATCCCATAAAGATAGTCTTCCAGGAGACTGCTCTTTAGAGATCTTCTAACTAGATCTTCTTCATATGGCCACTATCCATTCCAGGCATCTATGCCCTAGTCAAGTCCCTGAGGTCTCCTCTAGCATTAAGGTAAGGTGTGATGGAATTTGATGCATGATCTGCACAGTCATGCCTCCTGCCACCCACATGTAATGAATCAGATCCCATCACACTTTATTGCTGATGCAGAGGGAGCCTGGAATCACAAGGGGTCCCCACAGCTGAGAGACCACAGTTGACACGAATTCCCAGCCACAGGGGTGCTCCAGGTATCCCCATGGCTGGGAGACCACAACTTATGTGAGCTTCCAGCCACGGTGCCCCTGGCCATACATTCAGTTAATGGAATAACAGGAACAAGCCAAAGTTATTATACATATTTTGTGAAGCAACTTTATGGCTTATTCCTCCTTTTATCATGCCATTAATTGATTGAACGTGTGCCTGAGTGACAACTTAAACCATGATTAACTGGTTAATCATGTCTTAAGTGTAACATGTAGATAGGTCCTGAGAAGAGGTTCAGGCAAACATTGGTCCTTTTCTTCACGGACTTTTTGTGACTTAATCTTAAAAGGTAAGATGACAGTGTGTTACCAAGTGAAAGTAGATGCATTAATGGATGCATTGTTTTTCAGGGACTTGAACAGGGTGAAATAGAATTGCATTTAGGCAAGTCCACTTAGTCATGCAACAGGTGGAACAGAACCTGTCTCATATTCTCTCTTACTGACCCAAAAATGAGCTTAATCCTTAGGTTAATATCCATTATAATAGTCATATGCATCTGAAACAAATCTCAGTAGTTCTTTGGCACAAAAACCTTTCTGCAGACAAAGAGTAGGCATGCCTGCTCTAAATAAGCCTTAATTTCCTGCCACCAAAGTGTTATAAGCAATTAACAGTTACACATTTTCACACTTCCGGATCTGTTGATATCACCAGCTGCTAGGTATGATTATT